GGGTATAATAAGAAGCTGAAATCCATCCATTTTGATATTTTTATTTTTAAAAAAGTATAAATGGTCCATGTGACACTAACAATTCAAATTTCTAAAATGATTTAGAGTTTTAGAATGTTAAAATGATAGTTCATATTTCTAAATTTCAAAAACTCAAACTGATTTGGTATATTGAAATTTAATATTTTAGTTCAAAAATCTAAATTATCAAATTTCCAAACAGGTTTACAATTTTAATTTTTTAGCATTTTACCTTACATATATAAATTCAAATTTCCAAAATCAATTTTTGAGTTTTTAATCTATTGTTTGTTCAGAAAGCTTACGCTTAACAATCTTAAGTTTAGTAACATTTTTAGCTCACCTCGACGAAGTCGAGATGAGCTTATGCTATACCCCCGGCATTGGCGTCAGCGTCGGCGTCCCGGTTAAAGTTTTAGGAGCAAGTCCCATTCCCAAGTAACTATAAGCCCTACCTGGACCAAACTTGCATGGATGATGCATCTAGGGATAGACACTACCACACCTATTTCGGATGCTGGATCTGACCTAGATTTTCCAGATGATCGACCAGGTTAAAGTTTTTGGAGCAGGTCCATTCCCAAGGAATTATAAGCCCTACCTGGACCAAACTTGCATGGATGATGCATCTAGGGATGGACACTACAACACTTGCTTCGGATGCTGGATCTGACCTAGATTTTCCAGATGAGTGACCAGGTTAAAGTTTTTGGAGCAGGTCCATTCCCAAGTAACTATAAGCCCTCCCTGGACCAAACTTGCATGGATGATGCATATAGGGATGGACACTACCACACTTGCTTCAGATGCTGGATCTGACCTAGATTTTCCAGATGAGTGACCAGGTTAAAGTTTTTGGAGCAGGTCCATTCCCAAGTAACTATAAGCCCTACCTGGACCAAACTTGCATGGATGATGCATCTAGGGATGGACACTACCACACTTTGTTCAGATTCTGGATCTGACCTAGATTTTCCAGATGAGTGACCAGGTTAAAGTTTTTGGAGCAGGTCCATTCCCAAGTAATTATAAGCCTTACCTGGATCAAACTTGCATGGAGGATGCATTTAGGAATGGACCCTACCAAACTTGCTTCGGATGCTGGATATGACCTAGATTTTCCAGATGGGTCACTAGGTTGAAGTTTTTGGAGCAGGTTCATTCCCAAGAAACTATAAGCCCTACCTGGACCAAACTTGCATGGATGATGCATCTGGGGATGGACACTACCACACTTGCTTCGAATGCTGGATCTGACCTAGATTTTCCAGATGAGTGACCAGGTTAAAGTTTTTGGAGCAGGTACCCAATTATAAGCCCTACCTGGACCAAACCTGCATGGATGATGCATCAAAGGAAGGACACTACCATACTTGCTTCAGATGCTGGATCTGACCTACATTTTCCAGATGAGTGACTAGATTAAAGGTTTGGGAGCAGGTCTATTCCCAAGTGATTATTTAAGCCTTACCTTGAACAAACTTGTGTGGATAATGCATCTAGGGATGGACGCTACCACACTTGCTTGGGATGCTGGATCTGACCTAGATTTTCCAGATGAGTGACCAGGTTAATGTTTTTGGAACAGGTCCATTCCCAAGTAACTATAAGCCCTACCTGGACCAAACTTGTATGGAGGATGCATCTAGGGATGGACACTACCACACTTGCTTCAGATGCTGGATCTGACCTAGATTTTCCAGATGATTGACCAGGTTAAAGTTTTTGGAGCAGGTCCATTCCCAAGATATTATAAGCCTTACCTTGACCAAACTTGCATGGATGATGCATCTGGGGATGGACACTACTATACTTGTTTCGGATGCTGGATCTGACCTAAATTTTCCAGATGATTGACCAGGTTGAAGTTTTTGGAGCAAGTCCATTCCCAAGAAACTATAAGCCCTACCTGGACCAAATTTGCATGGATGATACATCTAGGGATAGACACTACCATATTTGTTTCAGATGCTGGATCTGACCTAGATTTTCCAGATGATTGACCAGGTTAAAGTTTTTTTGGAGCAGGTCCATTCCCAAGGAACTATAAGCCCTACCTGGACCAAACTTGCATGGATGATGCATCTAGGGATGTACACTAACTAACCTGCTTCAGATTCTGGATCTGACCTAGATTTTCCACATGAGTGAATTTTAGCCATATTTTAACCAAATTAGCATGGATGATGATGTATCTAAAGATGGACACTTCCAGACTTACTTTGGATTCTGAATCTAATATTGATGGATATTAATCTTGGAATGTACACTAACTAGGAAAAAAATATGATGTGAGATTTACCTTACTTATAGATAACATTCGTCGAGGTGAGCTTAGTCATCTTTGATTACCTATGTTTTTGTCTTTTAATTATTAAAAATTTACTTCAAACTTCTAAATCTCAACTTTCAAAACGTTTTGGGTTTTTTAGCTCACCTGAGCTGAAAGCTCAAGTGAGCTTTTCTGATCACATTTTGTCCGGCGTCCGTCTGTCTGTCCGTCTGTCTAGCTGTCTGTCCGTCTGTCTGTCTGTAAACTTTTCACATTTTCGACTTCTTCTCAAGAACCACTGGGCCAATTTCAACCAAACTTGCCACAAAGTATCCTTGGGTAAAGGGGATTCAAATTTGTTCAAATGAAGGGCCACGCCCTCTTTCAAGGGTAGATAATTAGGAATTACTGAAAAAATAATGGCATCATTTAAAAATCTTCTTCTCAAGAACCATAGGGCAAGGAAAGATGAAACTCATGTGGAAGCATCCTCAGGTAGTGTAGATTCAAATTTGTTCAAATCATGACCCTCGGGGGTAGGGCGGGGCCACAATGGAGGATCAAAGTTTTACATAGAAATATATAGGAAAAATCTTTAAAAATCTTCTTCTCAAGAACAGCAAAGCCATGATGAGTCATATTTATGTGGAAGCATCCTAAGGTAGTGTAGATTCAAGTTTGTTCAAATCATGACCCCCGGGGGTAGGGCGGGGCCACAATGGAGGATCAAATTTTTACATAGAAATATATAGGGAAAATCTTTAAAAATCTTCTTCTCAGGAACAGCAAAGCCATGATTGGTCATATTTATATGGAAGCATCCTCAGGTAGTGTAGATTCAAGTTTGTTCAAATCATGACCCCTGGGGGTAGGGCAGGGCCACAATGGAGGATCAAAGTTTTACATAGAAATATATAGGAAAAATCTTTAAAAATCTTCTTCTCAAGAACAGCAAAGCCATGATGAGTCATATTTATGTGGAAGCATCCTCAGGTAGTGTAGATTCAAGTTTGTTAAAACCATGACCCCCGGGGGTAGGGCGGGGCCACAATGGAGGATCAAAGTTTTACATAGAAATATATAGGGAAAATCTTTAAAAATCTTCTTCTCAAGAACAGCAAAGCCATGATGAGTCATATTTATATGGAAGCATCCTCAGGTAATGTAGATTCAAGTTTGTTCAAACCATGACCCCCGGGGGTAGGGCGGGGCCACAAAGGAGGATCAAAGTTCTACATAGAAATATAAAGGAAAATATCTTCTTCTGAAGAACTGCAAACCATGATTAGTCTTTTTATATGGAAGCATCCTCAGGTAGTGTAGATTCAATTTTGTTCAAATGATGACCCGCAGGGGTAGGGTGGGGCCCAATGGGGAATGGAAAGTTTAACATAAGAACATAAAGAAGAAATATTTCTTCTCAAGAACAGAAAAGCTATGTTTAGCCATATTGATATGGAAGCATCCTCAGGTAGTGTAGATTCAAGTTTGTTCAAATGATGACCCCTGGGATAGGGAGGAGCCACAATGGGGGATCAAATTTTTACAAAGGAATATATGGGAATTTTTTTAAAAATCTTCTCAAGTACAACAAAGCCATTTGTTACATTGACATGGAAGCATCATCAGGTAGTTTAAAATTCAAGCCCCCCCCCCCTCCCCTGGTCTTTTCAATACTGAACTGATTTGTGCTTTTGCCTAGCCAATGTGCTCAGGTGAGTGATGTGGCCCTTGGGCCTCTTGTTGAAATTTGGTATTTTGATTCAAGCATTCAAATTTCAAATAACCAAAGCACTTTGAGTTTTTAGAATTTTACTTTAAATATCCAAAATATTAAATTTCCAAACCCGATTTGAATTTTGAATATCAGTTCAATATTTTAACCATCTAAAAGCTCTTTTGCTTGACCAAAAGAGTTTTTGAAATAGTTTAAAAATTCAAACCAGGTTTGGAATTTGATATTTTGGATATTTATAGTAAAATTCTAAAAGCCCAAAATGTCAAAAAGTGTTTTAGAATATTTAAAATTTGAGTGTTTGAATCAAAGTTCTAAATTTCTTAAAATCTAGAACATTTTGAAAGTTGAAATTTAGAAGTTTGAAGTAAATTTTAAATAATCAAAAGACAAAATATCTTACTGAATTTAGGAAAGTTAAGAATAAACTTTCTGAACAAACAGTAGATTAAAAACTCAAAAGTTTAAAATACAAAAAATCGTTTTTGGAAATTTGAATTTTGAACATTTAAGGTAAAAATGTAAAACATTAAATTTTTAAAACCTGTTTGGAAATTTGAAAATTTAGATTTTTGAACTAAAATATTAAATTTCAATATACCAGATCAGTACGAGTTTTTGAAATTTAGATATTTGAACTAATATGTCAACATTCTAAAACTCAAAATTATTTTAGAAATTTGAATTGTTAAGTGTTACACGGACCATAAGCATTTGATAAAACTGTTAAGTTTAAAGTATATGATGAAAAACATCAGACTTCTTAGCGTAATATGTCATGTATGGTGATACGTATCGTATCGTGAACTGAATACTGTGATACGTATCATTGGGGTAGGTGTATCGTTGTACCCCTACTTAAAAGATAAAATTTGTTGAGGTGAGCTATGTAATCTTTGATTACATATGTTTGTATTAGTCTGACCTGACAAAATAGAAAAAAAGTAATGTTTCTGTTTTTAAATTCCATAGGTCCTTGGAACCTGCTACTGAGGAATTTTTAAAGGATTCTTCTATATTGATGAATGAAGCAGTACAGGACTTTGCACAGCGAACACTTGAACTGATGGAAATGGGAATATTTCTTCAACAACCAATGTTTCCTACACAGGAAAGGGAGAGAGGGAAAGGGAAAAGAAGAGGTGAAAGAGCTAGAGGCGGACAAGGAGGGTCACGTGGTAGAAATGACGAGTCAAACTGTATGCAAACCAATGAAAATATTTGTCAGCATTACTGTAGATTATTTGGAAGAATATTCTTTTTGAAAGAAGGGTTAGTATATATTAAGTTCATAATGCCAAAAATTTATACACCCCTATCCACTATTTTGAAAAAATCACTTATTTAAGGACATACGCAACGTACCTTACCTACAGATAATTTTTCAAGAAATTCTTAATTTAAAATTATAGTGCCATCAGATGTTTGTAGACAAAAAATCAGCATGCATTACCAGGGGTTTTGAAAATATATCAATTGATGAAAATCATTGTAGAATTCAAAGAAAAATATACAAAAGTTATTAAACATATATTCTTGATGTTTTGTTTATCCAAACTTGTTTTAGAAGAGGTGTACAACAGCATATATAGACATTAATATGTAGAACACAGTTCCTTTAAGTATTGGAACTCTTCAACTCCAGGGAAAAAGACAATAAAGTTCAAACTATGTTGCGTATGTCCTTAAAATTGGAATAATTTAATTCTAATTGTAATGCGGTATTTGATTGAATAAAAGATTTACTTTATATTGTATAAATAGGGTTGCAAATGTCACCATGACTTGCGCCTAAAACTTATCAATCTGCCTGACGTTACATTTAAATTTTGTACAATTTGAAGTCATATTTCAATGGAAATCATTTTTTTTCTTATGCTAAATGAATGAAAATTAAATTATTTGGAATGAATTTAATAGCTTCCTTATTTATATGGTATAAACTGGGTTGGAACAGTTTACGCTTTTTAGCTCACCTGAGCCAAAGGCTCAAGTGAGCTTTTTTGATTGAAATTTGTCCGTTATCTGTCGTCATTGTTGTCATCATTGTAAACTTTTCACATTTTCATCTTCTTCTCCAGAACTACTGGGCCAATTTTAACCAAACTTGGCACAGAGTATCCTTGGGTGAAGGGGATTCAAGTTTGTTCAAATGAAGGGCCACACCCTCCTCCAAAGGGAGATAATTACGAAATAGCGAAAAATTAATGGCATCATTGAAAAATCTTCTTCTCAAGAACCAATGGGCCAGGAAAGATGAAACTCATGTGGAATTATTGTCAGGTAGTGTAGATTCAAATTTGTACATATCAGGGTAGGGTGAGGCCACAATGGACGATCAAGTTTTACGTAGGAATACATAGGAAAAATCTTTAAAATTCTTCTTCTCAAGAACAGCAAAGCATTGATTGGTCCTATTTATGTGAAAGCATCCTCAGGTGGTGTAGATTCAAATTTGTTCAAATCATGACCCCCGGGGGTAGGATGGGGCCACAATGGGCGATCAAGGTTTAACATAGGAGCATGTAGGAAAAATCTTCAAAAATCTTCTTCTCGAGAACAGCAAAGTGATGATTGGTCATATTCATATTGAAGCATCCTCAGGTGGTGTAGATTCAAGTTTGTTCAAATCATGACCCCCGGGGGTAGGGTGGGGTTGCAATGGATGATCAAAAGTTTTACATGGGAATATATAGGAAAAATCTTTAAAAATCTTCTTCTCAGGAAGAGCTAAGCCCTGATTGATCATATTTAAATGAAGCATCCTCAGGTAGTGTAGATTCAAGTTTGTTCAAATCATGATCCCCGGGGGTAGGGCAGGGTCACAGTGGAGGATCAAAGTTTTACTTAGAAGTATAAAGGAAAAATCTTAAAAAATCTTCTTCTCAAGAACAGCAAAGTCGTGATGAGTCATATTCAAATGGAAGCATCCTCAGGTAGTGTAGATTCAAGTTTGTTCAAATCATGACCCCCGGGGGTAGGGTGGGGCCACAATGGACGATCAAAGTTTTACATGGAGATATATAGGAAAAATCTTTTAAAATCTTTTTCTCAGGAACAGCAAAGCCATGATTGGTCATATTTATATGGAAGCATCCTCAGGTAGTGTAGATTCAAGTTTGTTCAAATCATGATCCCCCGGGGTAGGGCGAGGCCACAATGGACGATCAAAGTCTTACATAGGAATATATGGGAAAATTTCTCTTAAGAACTGCAAAGCCATGATTAGTCATTTTGATGTGATCGAAGTTTTACATAGAAAAACATAGAAAAAATATTTTAAAAATTTCTTCTCCAGAACCACTGGGCTAAGAAAAATGAAACTTATCTGGAAACATCCTCAGGTAGTGTAGATTCAAGTTTGTTCAAATCATGACCCCAAGGGGTAGGACAGGGCCACAATGGATGATCAAAGTTTTACATGAGAATACATTGGAAAAATCTTCTCCAGAACCACTGGGATAGAAAGATGGAATGTGGAAACATCTTCAAGTAGTGTAGATTCAAGTTTGTTAAAACCATGATCCCCAGGGGTAGGGTGGGCCACAATGGACAATGAAAGTTTTACATTGGAATATGTAGGGAAAATCTTGAAAAAATTCTTTTCTCAAGAACAGCAAAGCCATGATTGGTTATATTTACATGGAAACATCAGGTAGTATAGATTCAAGTTTGTTCAGATCATGACTTTGGATTTTGGGGATAGGGTGGGGTCACAATGGATGATAAAAGATTTACAGAAGCTCCTATCAGTTTATTTTATACTTCTATGGATTGTTGTTTTATACTCAGGTGACCGTTAAGGCCCTTGGGCCTCTTGTTTTGAATGATGGTCACATAACTCATATGCCTTTATGTAATGAATCAACTTCATTATGTTAACTAAAAAAAGTGTTAAATATTCACTTTTTCACAGACTGATAATTTTTAGGTCACCTGACCTATTGCTATCTGTTTTCTTCCGTTGTTGTGTGTCGTGTGTTAACATTTGAACATTTTCAGCTTCTTCTCTGAAAACGCTCAACCAATTTCAACCAATTTTGGCATAAAGCATTTATGGGTAAAGGGGAACAAAATTTCTTGGTCCCTGCCCCTCTGTGTCCTGAGGGGTGGGGTCAAAACCACTAAAATTAATGCAATTTTAAAAAAATCATCTTCTTTACTCCTGGACATCAAGCAGTCAAACTGTTGGCATGATTGTAATAAGCATTGAGCCTTCTACCAATATTATGAAATTCATGGCCCCAGGGTCAGGTGTTCTGGCACTAGGGTGGGGCTATATAGATCATATAGTGAAAATGCATTAATTCTTTTAAAAATATCTTCTCCTGTACTCCTAGGTATTTAGCTGATGATCTAAGTACATAGTTATGATGAGGAAGAGTGCCTTTTCCAAAATTGTGAATTTCATGGCCCCTGGGTCAAGGGTTCTGGTGTTAGGGTGGGGCTCTAATGATTATATAGTGAAAATGCATTAATTATTTGAAAATCTTCTCCTCTGCTCCTAGGTATTAAGTCAATAAATTAAGTACATAGTTATGATGAAGAAGAGTGCTTCTTCCAAAATTGTGAATTTCACGGCCCCTGGGTCAGGGGTTCTAATGTTAGGGTAGGGCTCCAATGATTATATAGTGAAAATGCATTAAGTCTTTAAAATCTTCCCCTCTGCTCCTGGGTATTAAGCCGATGAACTAAGTACATAGTTATGATGAGGAAGAGTGCTTCTTCCAAAATTGTGAATTTCATGGCCCCTGGGTCAGGGGTTCTTGTGTTTGGGTGGGGCTCTAATGATTATATAGTGAAAATGCATTAAGTGTTTGAAAATCTTCTCCTCTACTCTTGGGTATTAAGCCGATGAACTAAGTACATAGTTATGATGAGGAAGAGTGCTTCTTCCAAAATTGTGAATTTCATGGCCCCTAGGTCAAGGATTCTGGTGTTAGGTTGGGGCTCTTATGATTATATAGTGAAAATGCATTAATTATTTGAAAATCTTCTCCTCTGGTCCTGGGTATTAAGTCAATAAATTAAGTACATAGTTATGATGAGGAAGAGTGCCTCTTCCAAAATTGTGAATTTCATGGCCCCTGGGTCAGGGGTTCCATTTGGGGGTGGGGAGGGGGGGGGCTTTTTTATTATATACTAAAAGTAAATTAATGCTTTGAAATCTTCTCCTATGCCCCTTGGTATTAATTTAACAAACTAAATACATAGTAATGATGAGAAAGGATGCCTCATCCAAAATCAAACATTTCATGGCTCCTTGGTCAGGAGTTCTTCTGCTTGGGTGTGGCACTATTGATTCATTAGCAAAACTGCATTTATAATGCTTTGAAAATCTCCTCCTCTGCCCCTGAGTACTAAGCAAACTAAATGCAATAATATCAATCTAAATGTCTTAGATATGATTATAAGTAAATGTGCCTTTTCTTTGCTTCTGGGTATCTAAGAGGCAGAGTACACAATTGTAATAAGTGAAGCAAATGATAGTTACTCCCCTTTGCTAACTGTTGTGAATCAAGAAATCCTTGTATATACTTAATTAACAGGTTATTTGATTGAATGAGAGTACAAGAAAGAATGTTATATATACAGAAACAAAATAAAAATGAATGTTTGGTTTAAATGAGCAAAGTGTGCTCAAAGTCAGATTCTTGCTTGGAAAGCAATATAAAAGATTGACATAAAGATTATTTATATAATAAGCAAAAGTTGTAATTGTACATAGTATGTTTACACTGAGGTGATGTAAATTACTGTCACTGGTAGAAGCAAGATACTGGATATAGATGTTTTATGCTCTATCAAATTGAATAAAGAATCAATGAGAGCCGGGTGACTTATTGTTGATAATGACAAGTGGCAAATAGCCACATTGTATACCCAAGTCTGAGTGTACTGAATTGTAGCACTAGGTAAGTAACAAAAACATCTGTATATATTGAATACCTTACACAGTAGGCAAGTGTCCATTGTATTTGTAAATTTTGTATTCATTAGGATTGTTCTTAGTAAACTGCTTCTTTTCGCTCTAGCTTCATTCCGATTGCGTTAAGCAATGTCCTCGCTTATTGGACAACCTTTTCGAAGCCGATTTGTTGATGGGCGAAGTTAAATCAAATGAAACATAGAAACAGGAAATATGTATAGTTATAAATAGATTTTAAGTTTGCACTATTTATTCAAAAGGAAACTTTACACCTACAGTGCCTGAACAATGGTACAAGGTTTTTTTTATTTTCAACTAATCAGCATCCAGGAAGACAGCCAAT